TTTTTTTTTTTTTTTTTTGCAACTTCACAAAAAAGGGCAAAAGGCAGTAAAAACAGAAAGAAAAAAAATGGTTACAAAGCTCCAATGATCCTTGGCTTCTTGCTAAACTCTAATTCCAACAACTCCATCTCTCTCATTCTTTTCCCAACATTATTTATATTATTGTTGCAAGAACCTCCACCAATAGCAGCAGTTGCAGCATCCACAACAGCCCCACCCCCGCTCCCAGGTATTTTGAAAATGTTGACCCCAAATAGCCGAACCATCTGAACCGGCTGAACCTGAACCGGGTTCGACCCAACACCACTAGTGTTATTATTATTCACATTCATCCTGGGCTTCCAATCAATGTAAAGCTGCTTGTCCTGTCCCGTCGACCTCTGGAAGCTCACAATGTCACCGGCTTTCAGGTTCTTCTCCTTCACGAACCGGCTCCACCCTTTGGTCAACACGTAACTTTGACTGCTGTTCCAGTACGAGTACCTGAACCTCCACACTTTTCCCCCGACGTCCTCAAAATTCAAAAGCACGCCTTTGCAAGCAGAACCGCCACTCGTGCTAGTGGTAGTGTGGTTGTTGAAGTTGTTTCCGCTTTGTAACGGAAAGTGCTTTTCAGCGTGCTGCTTTGGGATCACGAGACGGTTCAACTTCCCGACATCGCTCGGGGTCACCGCTTTCTCGAAAAGCTGCTCACGCGCCTTCGGGACCCGGTCGGACCCGAACGGGCCCAGTGGGCCGTGGGCCCTGGCCCGCTTCCCGTTGGCGTCGAGGAAGCCGTAGTTGTTTCGCTTGCTCTGCTCCAGCTCGTCATTGTAAGTGTGCTTCCTCAACATGTCGACGATTTCGGACTTGGAATGAGTATTGAGGAAGGCGGCCTCGAGGTCGTCGCTTTCGTCGTCGTCGGTGGAGGTGGCGGTGGCGGAGGGCTTGAAGTTGGTGACGGCGTCGCGGCCGCGGAAGCGCTGGGCGGCGACGTCGTAAGCCTTGGCGGCCTCGTCCTCCTCGTTGAAGGTGCCAAGCCAGACGCGCTGGTGCTTCTCGTAAATCTGGGCGCCCCAGCGGCCGTTGGGCTGGGGGACGACGCCCTTGTATTTGGAGAGGGGGAGCTTGCGGGACTCAGCTTCGATGCCGATGCCGCCGCCGCCGCTGCTGATTTCGGAGTCGAGAATGACGCTGCTGGCTCCGCTGCCGAGGCGGCAGAGGCTGTTGGCGTGGGGTGACGACTTGGCAATTGGGGAAATAGCGACAGTAGTAGGAAGAAGATGATTGTTGGGTGAAATGGATATGGAGTCGCTGGTTGTGCTTTCTTCTGTGCTGCTTAAGCTTATGCCATCCATTGTTTTTGTTGACTAATTGAATTGTGTGTTTAAAGAAGGAGAAAGCAAGAGGGGGATAAGAAGGTGCTTTAGATGTATGAATGATACAAGTACAAGAGAGAAGAGGTGTGATGAATTGGGATTGTTTCAAGGTTGAGTATATATATATATATAGATATATATAGGGGGTGAAGTGAAGTAAGGGGGAGGGTGGGTTGGGATTTACTTATTATGTTTGTATGTTTACTGTATGGTGTCGATGTGTATAAATATTAATATTAATATTAAATTTGAAGAAGAGATATGGGTATATGTGGGTATGGTGGGTCAACCCAAAGCCAAAGAGATTGGGATGGTAAAGAGGTAGGAAGGTTCATGCCTACAATCCTTTTTTCCATTTTCATTTTCATTTTCATTTTCATTTCATGCTGTAAGAGAAAAGAGAGAGAAATGGGAAACAATTGGCAACTGGGTGGGGACTAGTTAAATGAGAAAAACAAAATAATTAAATTTATAAATAAAATAAATATGAAGTGGGGTCTATGTAGTGCATCTGTTTCTGTGCTGTATCTATAGGCTATAGGTCTTCGTTTTTTGGGTATATGCAATAGAATATAAACTAAACGGGAAGGGAAATAGGCTTTCTCACACACGCAAATTACAATCAAAATGTCATTAAATTTTGAACGTATGACTTCTAATTTACAAATCAATATCGACTATACCCCTGTTGATACTGGTGTAGTAGGAATAAGGGTGATAGATAATATAATGGATGTGCGGGTTGTGGGCAGTGTATGTGAGGTGGGGCCCAGAGGAGGGGATGGGGAAACAAGTTGATGAGGTTCACATGAGCATGGACCTTGTTTTAGTAATTAAGTTCATCCCCCCTGAAAAAAGCATTTGCTATGCTTCTCTCTCTCAGCTCACCCTTCCAGCATGGCCTCCCCTTCTATTACCATCCATCATCTTCATTTATTTAATAAATATATATATATATAAATGAATCTTATCTGAAATGTGATAATCTAAAATGATTGTGCATAATTAGCAATATCACATAAAGTTGGAGAGTGGTAGGATGTTTGGATTAAGAAGGTGTGTTGCTTTTATTGCTCCAAATGATAATTTTAAATTATAATTAGATAAACATTGAGACAAGGAGATGTTATGTAACCAGTTGCAGCTCCATTCCATTCCATTCCCACTAGGATGGGTTGTGGGGCTAAAGTTAAATGAGACCTTGTGGGATTGGGATTTTTTTGGATAGGCATTCACCTCATCTCTCTCTCTCTCTCTCTCAATAGTATACAAAGCCAAAGCCTAGGCTCATCCAACAAGAAATTCCCTCTCTCTCTCTCTATGTGCCACCCCTAATAAGTTTTACCAGCTGGCTTGATTTGATTCGTCCTTCCCCTACTTTCATGGTTTGTCTTATTAGCTAGGTTCAACCTTACCTTAGTATCCCCATCCCCCAAAAACACAAATATATATATATATATATATACTTCCTTCCCGTTTCTTCCAATTCCATTATTTCCAACCAACATTGACATTTCTCCCTCCAACTCTCCAAGTGGCTAGGCTACCCTCCGTTCATGCACACACCATGCCTGCCTGTTATACCAATATTACTCCTTTTAATGTGGACCGTTTGATTTGGAATGCGGATCAGAGACATCCTAATCAGACGGCGCTGAACTCGTTGTCCAAATATTCAGTGGGCCCAACAATTACGTGTTTTTCATTTGTGGCAAATTATAGGTGACGGTGAGGAGGGTGTTGAGGATTTTATTTCAATTGAATCCAGATATATTTTTTTCTAATAAAAAATGGGTTTTGTGTACGGACGAGTCCTCGGTCTTCTAAGGGCCCACATGCAAGTTGATCTTCAAAACCGAGCGCTGAAGACGGTGGGTCAGCCCGTTTTTTGGGCTTTGCCTCTGTGGACTTGTGGTTTCGGTTTTCTTACGTGGGTCCTGCTGCTTCTTTCAGATTCCACTCTAATTTTTTATTTCTAATAATACGATGGATTTACGTGTAATTAACCTCTTTGTTTTTTTTGGTCCCTATTTTCTAACTTTGATTTTCAGAAAACAGCGGACGTAGGGTATTAATTAATGTATACTGTGCATACGGAACCCGTGTCTTTCTGTTATCGCCACTCCTTACAAGTGGGAACTCAACAAACAAAATAACAACATAAATTATTTGGTGTGTCTGAGGTGCATCATCTCCAATAAACTTGCTTGTACCACATAATGATAATATACACTTCTAAATATACCGATACCATTCGCAATGCATAAACGATTGACAATCATATATTTCTTCGCACGGACTAGGATTTGAGATTTATGAGTAAACGATTGATTAATGCTAGTCTTTTTCATTCTGAAATTACATTGGTATGGTAGGGCCAAAATATTGCAACATATAAGTGAAGTGGTCATACATTTATTTGCTTATCTAGAAGGAAGCATGTCGATTCTGCATTTTCCATTAATTTGCTAAGCGATTAGGTCATCCCTCATTAGCAAGATTGCCAAAGCATGTTGATTGGTTGTGTATGTTACATCAGTTCCTTTCAAATCCAAGAAATAAACATATGCATCAAAAAATATATATATATCCAAAGGCCGACACAATATAAACAAATAGTGAAAAACGTGCATCACATATCTTCACCTTTTGTGATATTTTTCCCATAATTAGATGATTAAGAGTAGAGTTAAGTTAACTATATTATCTTCTTGGAATAATTTTTTGATCCCACCAACCAAGCTCTCTCCTCACTGGTATTTAGATCTCTTCAAATTCCTCTCTTTAATCATCATCTCATCTATCTCCCAAGTAAGATAGGTGGGTAGCCTCCTCACCATGCCATGCCTAAGCCTATCCTTTTCACATCTGGATAAACGTTCGATTAATTTTTAATCCTTAATTAATTAAGACAATGTTCAGGTGCTTAACCTTTTCCACCTGTTTCTCAATAGCCTAAACAAATATAAAAAGCTGTTCAAAAGAATAAACACTTTTCTATCAACTACGTGGCATGCGCCCTTATCGCAAGTTAGCCAACATAAACGTTTATTTATTTGAAAATTACTATATATAGTGGGGCTGCCGACGAGGATCCTTATTTCACATGTCACCAATCCCAATCTGGTTAGTGCATGTATTGATTTCCAAACTCCAAAGCAAAAGCATGCGTTTATCTGTTTCTTATAGTTTATATTAATATAATAATTAAGATTAAAGTTTTGTGATTATCTGCGGAGATTTACATAATTAACGTTTAGCGTCGGCTGTTTCCAAGCCTCCTCTCTTAGGCATTTTCAGTTGTTGATGACTGAGGATCACTATGCCAACACATTCCACGTCTATACTTTTATATTTTTGTGAAGAAAATAAAATATACGGGAATATTTTTGATTTGGATCCTTGAAGAGAATAAAATTGAAGGGAGCTTTTTAATCGGCCAATTGAAACTGACATCGAATTAAATTATATAACACTTAGATTAGAAGCTTGACTTTTATTTTAATTTTCTCACAACTTTATGGTTTTTCAGGTAGTGATGAATCTGATGATCTCATCTTGTGCGGTTTTATAATGGAAAAAAAGTCGACATGCCGAGGAATTTGGTGATGTTTGTTTTTGATTGGTTGGAAGAGGATAAAGAGGATTTGTATTGTGTCATCGGCTTTTCTTTTTCAGTCATGGAAAGATTCAAGTAAGTATACAAATAGAGATATATATATATATATATATAGGACATTTAAGGCAACAACAAGTTACAATAATGGATAAATAATATTAATACAATTAATTTAATATAATACAATATGCGAGAAGATATAAAGAAGTAAGTTCACTGTCCTAACCAACTGACTTCACCAACGTAGGTCTGCAAAATAAAGGTTTTTTTAACTTGCACGACTCTCATATTGTCAGTCACTAATCGTGGATTAGTTTCCTTAATTAACGCATAACAATACAAAATAATGCAAAACTCATCAAAGGGGAGGTAGGTGTTTTAAGAGTGACATTATTAACAAGGCTTGCCAGTTGCCAGATGCAAGGTGGAGGTGGACCACTGGTCCCCAAAAACAGGTGAAAACCCCCTATTTTATTTTTGGCAATTTGCACCAGTTGTGCGAAAAGAAACGCGGAAGTAAATATTTTCTTCAAATAATTTTTAAAAAAAAAGAAAAAAAAAACAAAGAAATGGTTATGGGACAAACATGGGGAAAATGTATTAATTTTCTTGGGGGTTGGAAAATGCATTATTTGCTTCGCCATTTGTTGTTTGTTTCTTATCGTCCAACTTGCTTCTTCCATCTGTTGTCTGTTCACACGCAAAGCAACACTCCACCCACAAATAATATAACTAGGGGCCAAGCCAATTAAAATTAATTAATCACAAAATTAGATAAAAAGGAAATAAGTAAAACCGAGTGATATCATGAGATCCTTGACCGTTGCCCGATCCTCTACCGACGTGGACAATGACCCACCCCTTGCGGGTCAAAACCACGTGATCGTATATCACCACTCAAACAAACCCTACTTCTTACTGAGACTGTGTAACTAATTTAGTCAGGTATTAATTCATTGCAAAGTTTTTAACTTCAGTTTGAAACTACATTACAAATGTGGTTAAGATAGATCTGTTGACTAAATGTTACTTAACGAACACGAACACAAACATGACTGAATGTATTAAAATTCAAACTTTTAGGGTTGAGGGCTAACTAAGAGTCTTAGAGTTAACTGGAAGAGAGAGATTAAACGAAACAATGCAGGAAATCAACGCATAAGTCCAGCTAAACCCTAGTGAGAAAACAATTGAAGTTGGTCAAAGAAGCTTATATATATATATAAAATTATATATTGGAGTGTAGAAGATTCTATATAAATTTGTATTAAAGTAAACGAAAGGAAAATGATAAGTAGGCAGCCACATTGTTTGCAAGCGAGGAACAATAATGAGTTGAGGAGAAGTAGGGTCATATCATATGTAACTAGAAGTTGCTTTTGTTGACTCAAACAAAAAGCAAATGCAATACCACCATTGGTCCTTGGCTTTGGGCCCCACTGTCCCCTGTGTGCCACATAACTCATCCCATTGGCTGAGAGGCCATGTCTCACAAAGTCTTCCTTGGCAGTGTTCGATACCCACCACAGTTCACACCAGCTAGCTAGACCTAGAG